CACAACTATCTTTCTCTTGCCCACAAGACCAAAGACAATCCCTTCTCGACTTCAAGAACTTGTTGTCTCAAAAGATCAAGAACCAATCCACAGCAGAAATTACCTTGGGAGGTTTAAAGACATGGAAGCTAAACTCAGATTGCTGCACATGGCAACTCGTGAGATGCAGCAACGCTCTTTCGCCTTCCAGAGAAGTAATGGACCTGAATCTGAACTCCCTTGTCCTCTCTGGCTCAGTGAGTTCAAGCCTCCTGAGACCGCTTCTGCGTATAAGCTCTCTTGAGACTCTCGATGTCTCGTTAAATTTCATACAAGGAGAGATTCCTGGAGATGCGTTTGTGAACTTGACAAGGTTAATCTCTCTTGACATGAGTGGTAACAACTTCAACGGCTCTATTCCTCCTGAATTGTTCTCCTTGAAGACTCTTGAGCGCCTTGACTTAAGCATGAATTATATTTGTGGTACGTTGAGTGGTGACATCAAAAAGCTCAAGAACCTGCAGGAACTGATCTTGAATGAGAAGTTCATTGAAGGAGAGATTCCTCCAGAGATAGGTAAATTAGAAAACATGTATATGAAGATCAAATGTGTTTTAAAATGTTCCTAACTTTTATTGTTGTGTGTTTGTTACAAGGTAGTCTTACTGAGCTGCGGAAGCTGTCATTGAGGCAGAACATGTTCTCTGGTTCTATACCGTTGTCCGTATTACAGTTAACGAAGCTAGAAACGTTTGATCTTCAGAACAATTCCATGTCCTTCGAGATTCCAGATGGTATTGGGAGTTTGGTCAATCTATCAACTTTGTCTTTGAGCAGGAACAATTTGTCTGGTGGCATTCCATCGTCGATTCAAAATCTCAGAAATCTTGAAACCCTTGAGCTTGAGAATAACAATGGCTGTTTGGTTTTCATAAGCTGAAGACATTGCGGCTCGGAGGAAACAAACTCCAATGGAACAAGAATGGATCTGTCTTTGCACTGTCTAACTTAACACATCTTTCTCTTAGATCTTGTGGCTTAGAAGGAAACATTCCGGATTGGCTCGAGAATCAAGAAGCTCTTCTTTTCCTAGATTTGAGCATGAACAGGCTCGAAGGAAGTTTACCAAAATGGTTGGCTGTTATGGAAATCGGAATCATAATTTTGTCAGACAACAGACTCTCAGGTTCTTTGCCTCTTAGTTTGTTTCAGTCTCAGAGCTTATCGGTTCTTGAACTATCAAGAAACAACTTCTCTGGTCAGATCCCTGATACGATAGGCGAAACATCAGCCATGACACTGATGCTGTCTGGAAACAACTTTTCAGGATCAGTACCAAAGTCTATTACAAAGATCTACAGGCTACTGTTTCTGGACTTGTCGAAGAATAAGTTATCAGGTGAATTCCCGAGCTTCAACCACGACTCACTTCTTGCGCTGCTCGACATATCTTCCAACGAGTTCTCTGGGAATGTTCCAGCTTCTTTTGGAGTGAGCACTCTAATGCTCTCAATGAGTCAGAACAAATTTCAGCGGCGAATTCCCTCAGGACTTCACAAATCTCCCATTTCTGATGCATCTTGACCTTCACGACAACAAAATCTCGGGTACACTCACGAGTTTCATCTCCCGGTTATCTCCAAATCTTGCGGTGCTTAGCCTGAGAAAAAATTCCCTCAAAGGTTCAATCCCAGAAGGCATATCAAATCTCACAAGTCTCAAGGTCTTGGATCTCTCTGAGAACAAGCATGATAGAATCTCCCGCGAGCTCCTCTTCGGCTCTTTCTTTCGCGTTCAGCTTCGACGACTTAACAGAGACTGAAATACAAAACCATTTTAGTGTTGAAGTGATCTGGAAGAATTTAAACCAAGTTATTTCCAACAGAAACCTTTTCCTTTACACTCTCTTAGATCTCTCCAAGAACAAGCTACTCGGAGAAATCCCAACTTCTTTAGGAAATCTCAAGACCCTAAAGCTTTTAAACCTTTCCTACAACGAGTTCTCTGGATTGATCCCTCAAAGTTTTGGAGATCTTGAGAATCTAGAGGTCTTAGACCTTTCATACAATAACCTCTCTGGCGAAATCCCGAGAACGTTGTCTAAGCTCAACGAGTTGAATGTTTTGGATTTGTGCAACAACAGGCTTTCAGGTAGAATCCCTGAGAGTCCTCAGCTGGACAGATTAAACGATCCTAACATTTACGCGAACAACGACAAAATCTGTGGAATGCAAATCCAAGTACCATGCTCTAGCTCTACACTGACCCATCATAC